ATCAGAACCACAACAACATATATTGATACTTTTGATCACACCCCTTTACACCCTGCATACATCGTCCCTGTTGTGTGAATTCGTATGCTTTGGTGGCCTATCAACCAAAACCAAGAATACATACTTTTACACAAACGTTCATGCCCATTCACACCTATACAAACGAATACGCATATATATGCTCGAACACATATACACGCATGCACACGTTCGCAAATGCTCGTACACAAACACGCACGCACATACATTTGTGCGCCCGTTTGCGTAGCCTTCGCTGACAGATTCACACATAACCTACCTCATGGTGCAAGATACCGGCTACAAGGTGAGTATGTGGCCCTGACAACAGGGGTACCGATTCAACAGAATTGTTGGCCCGTCAAACCCGCAGTGTGGTTGGGCCAGCCGGATACAGCAGCCCAGTCATACGCACGGTGTACACACAGACTCGTGTATGCGACCCATCATTGGCTCGCATGGACATTTTTTATTTTATTCTACCATGCAAACGTAATGCTTCTAAACAAGAAGTAAACATGCCCCTCAAGAGGCCTCTACTCATCCCGCATATAATTGCAATATCACTAGGATCATCCACAAAACTGCTGCGTAATTTAACTTAGTTTCGCTTTATTTTGAGACTTCCGCCAGGTTGCGCTATTAACTCTTTATTTTTTTCGTCACATTTGTCTGGTTGAAATCTAATTTATTTATATTTTGATCACTGTTTGCAAATTTACTGATATACGTATATATGCTCACGTGTAATTACACATCTCTGCGTTTGCTGATATGCCTATCCATTTATTTATATATTTTTTCTTTATATCTAACCGCCTAACTTTCCATGCGTGTAAGGCTCCATCACTCTACGTGTATATCCGCTTATCCATCCATCAACTCGCGTATCTACTTATCCGTCCTCTCCACTTGTAGCCGTCAATTTATTTACTTTTTTATCTATATGTGTATATTCATTTGCAGGTGTACATCCATAAACTTGTCTCAGCCATCTATCCGTTCATCTATATATCTACTTTTCCACTTGCTCATCTATCGACCTATTCATCCTTATTCTAGTGATTTTTTAAATCCACAAATTCACTTTTTTGTTATCTTTTCATGTCATTTTTCGAGCCATATTCCATTTCCACCGCATTGACTTCACGGCCCAGCTAAATTCATCATTATAATTAAAAAAACTCTATTTTAATAATTTTATAAGTTCTCATGCTCAATAGGTAATGTCAAAGGCTACATTTCGAAGCCACAGCTTGCTCTGTTTTGGGACCGAGAACTTGATGGATATTCTAGCCGGCAACTAAGCCAGCAACCCAAAGACTAACATAATTTCCCCATCATTATAGATCTATGCTTGTGATGCGCTCGCTTTCTCTACTTGATCATACGACGCTGGCATGTATGAATCCGAACACAGAGTCTGGTCCCACATCTGTGGTGTGGGATAGATTTTCTATTATTCTTTGCTTCACAATCAGTGACCAATGACATTGCTTCAGTACCATGTCTGCGTCGAATGATAATTAGTACTTTGCCTCAGAAATATTAGTTTCCTTTAAAAGTCCGTTGATATCGGTTTCTCTAATCTAGCTATGTATATATAAATAATTTGTACCACTTACAACAGTATTCCACTTAGTGCTCTAAATACTTTAAGTAACTAATCTTCTTTTATATTTTTTACGTTTTACTCATTTGGTGCCACTATATATGGTAGTATTGAGCTTAGAATAAAAATTGTTTTTATTCCATGCTTACTATTTTTACTCTCTTTTTTGCTCAGTCGGATACTACCATTGTTATATATTCAATTACTTTTACTTGGGTTCTTGCATGTTTGTTATATTAAACGCTTGAAGATAAGGTTGTCTTAACCGGGATGCATGCCATAGCCTCCTAAAAGTTCGAAAAAGAAGGGGCTTTTCTAATGACGGTTTTTAATGCCTTGGGCTAGGCTTCTTGCAATTCAGCTTTGCAAGTAATTACTTTCTATTCATAACCCTTAAATAAGTGGTTATTTCTCTTCCTTTCGCCATAGTTCAGCGAGTAATCTTAAAAAC